ACACAATCAACTGGGAAGGAACTGCCTCCCGTCCAGACCCAGCCAAGACTCCTCCTCCAGGAAGGCCCTAAATAAATGGTATTCTATAACACTTGATATGTAGGCTTCACTTTTTCCTATAACTTCACAGTTACCAATATAGCATTTGTATACCATTGCCTCTGGGACTTGCCAGAGATAGCGTCAGAAAGAGCCCAGGGCAATGGCCCTCACAAAGGGACAGCCAACTTGACTGTGGGAACCCGGCTAGGCAACTTCCTGACTTTCTGTGCTAAAGAAACCCCAACATCAGTTCAACCTAAGTGCAGGGGTCTCAAGAGAGATTTAAGAGATTTAAGTTTAAAACAAAAACCCAACAACCACCCCCATATCAGCCCTCTCTGTATGCCTAAAATGGAGAGCTCATTGGTAAAATTAACCCAAAATGGCAAAAAAAAAAAAAAAAAGTCCTAAAATCATTGCTGGTTCTCAACTTACTTATAAGGGAATAGGGTCAACAATACAATTTCTCCTAAAGTTAACCCTAGCAAGTGGTCAGTTTTCAACAAGTATTTATTGAATGTTAAATAAATGAAAGGCTCATTTCACTCAGGTGACACTTAGAGTTATTCAAACTCCTTTATCTGTCTACACCTGGGTTACGCCAGAAAGCTCTCTGGACTGGGTGTCAGGACATTCAGGTTCTGATCACGGCTCTACCAGTAACTGTCTATGTGATCTTAAATAAGTTACGTACTGAATTTGATGAGAGAGAGCAAGAGCGAGTGCAAGGGGTACAGACTGACTACACGATCAGTATGTTCCTTTCAGCGATATCATTTGACAGAGCCCGGGTTTTATGACAAATAATCATCATGTCTCTAATTTGGGCACAAAACTACAACCTGTTCAGCCACGTTGGAACGGCCAGATAGCTGAAGATAGGCAGTGGCTAACAGAAAAGGTAGTGGGAGGGGGGCTTGAAGAAAGTAATGAACATGGAATGTCAAAGTTGTAAAACCACCTCTGAATGAAGCCTCCCTCATTTCCCGGCCCACGGCAGCGTGTGAGCTCCAAGCTCCCATTTACTAATCGAGTGAAAACCCCCTAATACCAGAAGAAAAATTAACAAAGAACTCGCACAGCCAATTCACAGAATACAAATCGCAAGAAACATAAGGCAGAGGGGAAGTGTGGAAAATACTTAACCTCATTGTTAATGGAAGAAATAGAAATTAAATGACACTGAGATACCGGTTTACAACTATCAAACTAACAAATGTTTAAATGAGACGTGTTGAAGTAGACTTTCTGATGCACTGCTGGCAGGACGAACTGGGACAGCCCTTCTGTAAAGCAATCTGGCCATCAAGAGCCTTTAAAAGAGCACTCCCTTTGAATCAACAACTCTACTTCTAGGAATCTATCCTAAGGAAATAATCAGAGATATGCCCATACATAAAGAAGTCCATCACAGCATTATTTATAATAATGAAAAATTGGAAACTCCTAAATGTCTGACAAAAGGGGAAAGGTTATGTATGTATTATGGAGTCATCAAGAAGTATTTTCAAATAATTTCTAATGATATGGAAAATGCTAAGTAAAAAAAGCAGGATTACAAAACTACTACAAAATTCTAGTTATGTTTAAAAATATACATGCACAGAAAAAATACTAGAAAGAAATACACCAAAACATTAACAGTGATTATTATACCCTGGTGCTGAGTTTATGGGTGATTTTAAAAATCTTCTTACTTTCCCCTACGTTCCGAATTTTCAACAATGAGTATGTGTTACTTTTAAAATTAAAAAGCACATTAAAGGTGTGAGGGGAGGGGGATGTTTCTTTATTTTCTCTCTCTAAGTTTTCCAAATATTTACTTTCCAATGGTTGGCAACCCTATCAGCCCCAACCCTCCCTTGGTATATACAATATTTTGTAGTGTACCCTTTGCCACCCTGAAATGAATTTCATAGTTAATATAACCTGCTTATACATATAATTTCCAGAATAGCAACATAATATACTATCATATAAAGGAGAAATAAAAGGAAAGTAGTTTATAGTAAGATAATATGCATTTCAATATGCAAATGCATGGACAAAACTACACTAAAAGATATAATAAAGCAGTCAGATGCTTCCGCTTATATACGTGAGTGGATGCACCATGAATGCAGCTGCTACAAAGGAAGGCTAATATAGGGACATTACATCGGCAACTTCAAAATCCACGAATGGCATTGCTGTTGGTGATATGATTTTCAAAAGTCACAACTCTTGGTAAAGTTCTGAACAAAATAAAGTACCATCTTCCCTCGATTTACACAATTGTTGCATTCCTGGAAATTCAGTGTATATATTAAAACTGACAAACATATTTTGTGTTTATCTGTATCGTAATTAGGCTCAGCTAACGACACTAGGTTTTTCCACCTACATTGATGTCCTATAGGACATTGGAAAGTTTATGGATGCAGATTTCTAGTTCCATTCCCCTTTCACATGTATCCCAAACATGAAATCTACCATGACTCCCTTTTTTTGTGAGTTGGGCTTACATCCTTTAAAACTAATAATATTCACAGTTTTAGCCTTTGACACTATTTCTAAAACCCATCGCCTAAGAACAGCAAGTGATTCCTAGAATGTATTCTCAAAACTGACACAAATGCTTTTTGAATTATTGGAAGCATTGCTCTTCTTTAGTAGCACCAAGGCATGAGAGCAAATTATCGCTTTTTAAAAACTATCTACTGTGATCCTTTGGTGATTTTCCCTAGCCTGGCCCCAGTCTCCGGAGTATAAAATGGACTGAGCTGGAAGAAAAGGACTAACAGGGCCAGGCCATGGGGAGAGGGAGGGGGGCCAGGGTGCTAGGTTACCACTGAGCCAGTCCAAGTGGTCCCAGAGGGGTACCAGACACAGGACAGGTCCCCCTCTCTCCCCCACTAGGTTGAAGGCCCTCTCAAAGGAAGGGGGTCAAAAAGTGGGGGAGGGAGCCAGTTACTCACACTAGGCACAAGTAAAGAAATGAGGCAGAAGCACAAAGAAACAGACATCCCTGTATTTCTAAAACCATTCAAGTCTCCTTCATTAATTGGCTTCCTCCTGAAAAGAAAGATTTCTTTATTGAGAAATACCAGAAAGTGAAAAACCCACCACACATACACATTTGTAGGCTCACACAGAAGTGCAAAGATTTACATATTAAATTGCATTTGAGTTAGAAAATAGATTTTAAAACAAAATACTTTTTTTGCCCCAAGAAGGTAAAGAGATTTGGTCAGTAGGAAAAGAAGCCTTAGGGGTAAAGGCAGGAAGAATGGAATTTAGCTGCTATTGAATTTGAACCCACCTCTGCCACTGGAAAAAAAAAACAAAAAGGGAGGCGATGCTCTCTGCTAGAGCAAGGAGGGCCCCAGAGCCAAATGGACATGAAGACATGGCCCCAAATAGCCAAATTCCACCAGCCCCCAGAGGTTTTGGATCCGTGCTGACCATCCTGGCCTGGGAAAGGGAGGTGCATAGGAAACTTAAGGAACAGGGAGGAAGGGGAGAGGTGGAGAGAATGTCAACCATTAAAAAGAACAAACAGTGGGGCTGGCCCCATGGCTGAGTGGTTAAAGTTCCACGTGCTCTGTTTCAGCAGCCTGGGTTTGTGGGTTCGGATCCCGGGCACAGACCTACACCACTTGTCAAGCCATGCTGTGGCAGCAACCCATATACAAAACAGAGGAAGATTGGCACAGATGTTAGCTCAGGGCTAATCTTCCTCAAGCAAAAAAAAGAGGAAGATTGGCAACACAGGTTAGCTCAGTGCCAGTCTTCCTCAGCAAAAAAAAAAAAAAAAAAGAGCAAACAATTTAAAGGGCTATTCCCCTGGGAAGGACTAATTCTTCAATCACCCCTCTGATCAGAATTCAGACAAGGGACAGTCCTGGCTGGTGCCTGGTATGAATGGGACAGATCTTCAGGCCAAGGTCTTAAATCCAGAAGATTTATAAAGGAAAAGAAAGGGGGCAGGGAGTATAAAAAAAAGAAACTTTCAAAAAAAATCATTTCATACTAGACATAAAGTATTTCCGTTTTGACCTTTCACCTCAGAGAGAGAAAGCTTCTCTGACTGACCCAAAGGTCAGCAGAAGAATGGTTGAGGTAAGCTGAGGGAGGAGAGAAATCCGTCCTAACCCAAGAGAGGAGATGGGCTGAGACCGGATGGGCTGAGTACTGACTAAAAAAGGGTCCAACTGAGTGGCAGGTTAACTGGAAAACTCTAATAACTTCTAAACTCTCCAGGCTTGGCATTATTTTGAACTAACTAAAATCTAACCACAAGGACCAAATTGAGAGAGCAAGGAAAAAAATGGGAAAGGAGAGGCAAATAGGAGAGGAATCTGAGTCAGTCAGTCTCTCTCTCTCTTTCTCTTTCTCTCTCTCTCTGGATTGCTAAACTCAAATCCTACTACAAGGAAAATAAGAAAAATCTGGGAGCAGCCAAATTTCATTAATTAGATTAACTGGGAAGAGTGAAATAGGCATTGCTAAGGAGTCTTGATTATATATAGATATTTTAAAAGAAATATATACCATCACCTGTAAAACATTAATAACAATATATTTCTGAGAAGAGGCCCTGATGAGTCTGCTTTAATAACCAAGACTCATTTGCAATTAACAGCCTCCATCTGCATAAAGCAATATCCTAATAAAGAACTTGTTCTCTTAAGTACATGTAATCCCCTGACCCTCCCAATCTTGCTAACACTGTAAATTGCCTTGAAAATCTTTCTTCATAGTCCAGAATAAGGTAAACTTTGGCTCAGAATGTAGTATAGATCAATGGAGAGTTTGGGAGTTCTCTCTCCAACCCAAGGGTCCCCTGGAAAAGGGAAGTATGGGTAGTAACAAGCAACCCCTTCAACCCCCACCCCTCCCCCACACCCCCCCACACAAAGACACTCACATCCTCATGGTAGTTCTTGAAATGGAAGGGGGAAGGAGGAGGCAGGCAGTTTGCATTAGACACAGTTTAATCACCTTCAAATAGATTAAAAGTTCTGGTTTACACTTCCCCCCTCCCCATAAGTCATCCAGACAGGACCCTGGCTTAGAAAGAGAAAAACACAGGTGCTCTAGGAAATATAGCCACATATAATACATAAATCTTCTTCCCTGAAATAGAGCAGGTCCTGAGCAGAGCTGACTGGAGGCCACAGCCCACTCCCAGGGTGAAGCGGTTCTGGGACTCTGCCGTTGGAAGTGCTGGAAGAGGAGGGCTTGGAGGAAGCCCCAGTGTGGTTACCAAGCCCAAGGTGGGCCAAGGCCTTGGAGTGGGTTTACCCGGGAGGGCAGCAGTGCTGGGCTTTCCCTCCTCTTTCAGCCGAGGCCTAATGGAAGTACTGGTTCTCCTTTTTTTTTTCTTTTTTGAGGGGACATAGGGGGAGAGGAGAGGAGAGGAGAGCCTCTCTGTGCCTTGGTTTCCCCATTTGTGCATTCAGGACCTCTGTAGGCCTCACACAGGGAGTCTGCGCGGGTAGTGTTTAAGTGAGCACTCAGGTTTCCTCTGAGGAAAAGGAACCACCAAAGTGCAGACTTTTATTACTGCCATTCCTGCTCCTAACGAGAGCAAGAGTCAAAAGGAAAACAAATTAAAAGGGGCTAATGAGAAATGAAGAGAGATGAGACAGAGAGTGTGAGGGGCTATGCCGTTGGCATCTCATAACTTCTTACTGAGAATGGCACAGGTATTAAAAAGTTTATGGGTAGTCTACGAGAAATGTAAATTGTTATCTCTACTGCAACTAGTTACATATACCTAATTGAAAAAGAGTGGGGCTTGGGTGTTAGAGAGTGGATGGGGGACAAAGGAGAAGCTACACGAATAAATACAAAAGTGGAAGGTACCTGCTCCATTCCTGAAAGGATTTGCTGGCAATGTTGGCACTTTGTAGCCAGGAGAATCCTCCAACCCCACTCTCCATCCTCTTCAATTCTGAAGGCCCCAAGAATCCAGTTAGGATTCCCCAGCCACAGTTCTCTGTGACTGTCTCTGGACTCATGACATGCAGCAGCTTGAAAGGATTTGAGCCGGTCTCAAGAATCTTTAATCCCAGAATTAGACCAGTGACCCCCCCCACCAAGGAAGAGGTCTGGGGTCTGGGGGGAAGAGAGGGGAGTCCAAGGAGACTCCATGGCTGAGGCCACGGAAAACCAGTGCCAGGGCCCAAGAGACCCATTTGTCCAGTTACCAGGGGTGACTGGCATCTTCTGTGACTGCCTTGAGTCCAGAAATAAAAAAAGCTTGCAGCAAGAAAATGCCAGTGTGCAGTTGAGTGAATAAAGACCAAAGAAAAACAGTAAAAGGGACAGCTTACTTCCTCTCTGTCTCAAGTTTATCTTCTCCCCTTAAATCTCTCACAGCCCTAATTAAACACAAACAAAAGTCTCTTCCATAGATAGGCTACTTCTCAGCTTCTGTCACCTCTTCTGGTGACTCTGGGGGCTCTGGAGGTGGCATCTCCTCAGGAGTGCTGGTGTCCTCCGGTATCTCATTTGAGCTCAGATGTTCTGTCGGGACCTGAGAAGGAAAAGACATCAAATTCAATACAAAGCTCTTCCTTAAAATCCAAATGGAGGTAATCCATAGACACTGAACTCCTCCTCTGAACCCATCTCCACATCGACACTACAGATATGCAGCCTCCGATACCAAACTCAGAACCAAGACCAGACTATTGTCTTCTCAGCAGAATGCAACTGAAGTTTGAGTTCTAGTCTTAACTGTCTGTTTTGGACAGATGTTTCCATTATTATTCATGATAATAATAAAAGGGACCAAAAATGATTACAGACACCTCTCCTTCACAACAGAATGTTATAACGTACTTGTCTAACAAGGCCTGACCCAGTGGTTGGTTCTCAGTCTTCTTTCTGCCCTAACACACAGCTCACTAGAACAGTGATTCCAAACCAAAGAGGGTAGGGTGGCAAAATCTTCAGATGATATATGTGGTTTGAAAAGGCCCCCTAAGTGACTCTAAATTACCACCATTCCCAACATTCAACTGAGAATTTCTAACCTAGATTGTTATGATTTAAGACCAGATCCATCAGAAAAATGATATTAAAAATTATGATAATAATATATACATGAATTTGCTGTACTTCAAAAAATAAAATTCAAAGTTTAGGAAAGGCAAAGTAGAGAACAATTACCTATCTTACAAAAAGCACTCACTTAAAAGTAGGATTCTATTTTAAAAGAAAGTTCCAATCTACTAAAAATCTATTAGAACTAATAAACAAGTTCAGCAAGGTTTCAGGATACAATATCAATATACAAAAATCAATTGTATTTCTATATATTCCCAATAAACAATCCAAAAATGAAATTAGAAAAATAATTTCAGGGGCCAGCCCGGTGGCTTAGTGGTTAGGTGCGCGCGCTCCGCTGCTGGCGGCTGGGGTTCGGATCCCGGGCGCACACCGACGCACCGCTTATCTGGCCATGCTGAGGCCACGTCCCACATACAGCAACTAGAAGGATGTGCAGCTATGACATACAACTATCTACTGGGGCTTTGGGGGAAAAATAAATAAATAAAATTATAAAACAAAAAAACAAAACAAAAAAAAGAAAAATAATTTCATTTACAAAAATATCAAAAAGAAGAAAATACTTATGAATGGAACAAAAGAAGTGTAAAACTTATACAGATCTTCCTCGACTTACAATGGGGTTACATCCTGATAAACCCATCATAAGTTGAAAATATAGTAAGTTGAAATGCATGTAATACACCTAACCTACAGAACATCATAGCTTAGCCTAGCCTACCTTAAACCTGCTCAGAACACTTACATTAGCCTACAATTGGGCAAAATCACCTAACACATAGCCTATTTTATAATAAAGTGTTGAGTTTATCACATAATTTATTGAATACTGTACTGAAAGTGAAAAACAGAATGGTTGTGTGGGTCCAGAATGGTTGTCAGCACATCAGTTGTTGACCCTCGTGATCACGTAACTGAGTGGGAGCTGCGGCTTGCTGCTGCTGCCCAGCATCACGAGACCGTATGCATACCATAAGCCTGGGAAAACATCAAAATTCAAAACTCCAAGTGTGGTTTCTACTGAATGTGTATCGCTTTCACACCATCATAAATTCGTAAAATTTTAAGTCGAGCTATCGTAAGTTGGAGACCGTATGTACTCTGAAAACTACAAAACATTGCTGAAAGAAATTAAAGGAGACCTAAATAAATGAAAAGACAGCCTATGTCAATGGCTCAGAGGACTTGATCCAGTTAGGATGACAATACTCCCCAAATTGTCCCATAGATTGAATGCAATCCCCATCAAAATTCCAGCTGGCTTCTTTGCAGAAATTGACAAGCTGACCCTAAGATTCATATGGAAATTCAAGGGACCCAGAACAGCCAAAACAATTGAATAAATAAAGAATAAAGTTGGAGGACTCACACTCTTTTTTCTTTTTTTGTGAGGAAGATTAGCCCTGAGCTAACATCTGTTGCCAATCCTCCTCTGTTTGCTGAGGAAGATTGGCCCTGGGCTAACATCTGTGCCCATCTTCCTCTACTTTATACGGGACGCCTCCACAGCATGCCTTGATAAGTGGTGCGCAGGTCCACGCCTGGGATCCGAACCTGTGAACCCCGGGCAGCTGAAGCGGTGTGCACAAACTTAGCCACCTGTGCCACCAGGCTGGCCCAGGACTCACACTTTCTAATTTCAAAACTTACTACAATGCCACAGTAACCAAGACAGTGTGATACTGGCATAAGAACAGACATGTTGATCAATGGAATAGGATCAAGAGTCCAGAAACGAATTCTCACATTTACCGTCAATTGATTTTTGACAAGAGTGCCAAGACAATTCAATGGAGAAAGAATAGTCTTTTCAACAAATGGTACTGAGACAACTGGATATCCACATGCAAAAGAATTTGAACCCTCTACCTCACACCATATACAAAAATTAACTCAAGATGTATCAAAGACCTAAAAGTAACAGCTAAAACTATAAAACTCTTAGAAGAAAACAGAGGCATAAATATTCACGACCTTGGATTAGGCAACGGTTTCTTAGATCTGACAACAAAAGCACAAACAACAAAAGGAAAAAAACTGGATAAATGGGACTACATCAATATGTAAACCTTTTGTGCTTCAAAGGACACCATCAAGAAAGTGAAAAGACAACCCACAGAATGGGAGAAAATATTTGCGAATCATATATCTAATAAGGGACTTACATACAGAATATATAAAGAACTCTTACAATTCAACAATAATAAAAAAAAAATTAAAAATGGACAAAGGATCTGAACAGACACTTCTCCAAAGAAGATACACAAATGGCCAAAGAGTTCATGAAAAGATGCTCAACATCATTAGTCATTAGAGAAAGGCAAATCAAAACCATAATGAGATACCACTTCACACCCCTTAGGATGACTAGATTCAAAATGTCAGACAATAATAATGTGTTGCCAAGGATGCGGAGAAATTGGAACCCTCATACACTACTGGTGGGGATATAAAATGATGCAGCACTTTGGAAAAGTCCAGCAGTTACTCAAAAAGTTAAACATAGAGTTACTATACCACCCAGCAATTTCACTCTCAGGTAGATAGGCAAGAGAAATGAAAATATCTATGTCCACACAAAAAACTTGCACATGAATGTTCATTGTGGCATTATTCCTAAAAACCAAAAGGTGGAAACAACCCAAATGTCTATCAATTGATGAATGAATAAATAAAATGTGGTCTATCCATATAATGGAATATTATTCAGCCATATAAAGGAATGAAGTACTGCTATACGCTACAACGTGAATGAGCCTTGAAAATATTATGCTGAATGAAGGAAGCCAGTCACAAAAGACCACATATTATACGATTCCATTTATATGAAATGTACAGAAGAGGCAAATTTATAGTGAAAGAAAGTAGATTAATAGTTGGGCTATAATAGATTAATGCAGCTAGGAGAACTAGGGGGAAAGGGAGAGTGACTGCTAATGGATACACAGTTTTCTTGGGGGGGTAATGAAAATGTTTTAAAATTGATTGCTATAATGATTGCACAACTCTGTGAATATACTACAAACCATTGAATCAGACATTTTAAATAGGGATTTTATGGTATGTGAATTATATCTCAGTAAAGCTGTTATAAAAAAAGGAAGTTCAAATAATAACTTTTTAGGAACATACTTCATCAAGTACATCTTGAGCAGGACAGCTGGGAGAGTTTCCCCAACATCTGCATACTCCAGTGACGAAGCCCCTTTCTCCCAAGGTAACCACACCACTAACTCCAACCCACTCCCCTGACCTCGATCATTGCTCCTAAAGAATTTTATGCTTCCCTCATCTAGGCACTTTTCACAACGTTAAGCAATGGCCTGTTTTCTCATCTCTCATCCCCACTAGACAATGAGCTCCTTGAGAGCAGAGACATCGTTTGCCTTGTTCACTGGCATATCCCTAGCACAGTGGCTGGCACAGAATGTCAAAGAAATAACTAGATCTTAATCTACCTCAGGTCCACAAAGATCTAAAGGCAATGTTAAGGTAGAAGCAGAGACAGGGAAACTGCAGCGATTGGACACAAAATTGCCTAATTATATCTCCACGGTGTAAATTTAGCCTACTCCCTCTATCACCAACTCATTCTTAAAATCGGAAAGCCTTAAAGTCAGTAACACTTACTGGGCTCTGTGGCAAGAGGCTGCTACTGGTCTCTTGAGTACTGGGAGGTCGACTTCCACTTTCCTCCAATGGCAAAATACCCCTTCGATCCAGCACACTGAAGGAGACAGGAGAGTTAATAAGGCACTTCGCATTCACCTCTCCACCCACCCACCCCATTGAACTTTGCTGTGTGTGCTGGAAAACATAAACCTGCCCTTCGGCAGGCTAGCCTGATCCTAGCACATGCCTCCTGTCTTCCATTCATGTTTTCTTTCACAAACCAGGGAACAGCATATTCACCAGGGAACAAACAAATGAAATAAGAACAAAAGGTCATCCCTTCAAACCAACCAGCCCATGGTCTATGATCCATGTAGATATGTCACCAAGGGACAATCCCTGGGAAGACCTATTTGACACCAAGAGGCCACATTCAGAAGAATGCATCAGGGGCCGGCCTCGTGGCTTAGCAGTTAAATGTGCGCGCTCCGCTACTGGCAGCCTGGGTTCGGATCCCGGGCGCGCACTGACGCACCGCTTGTCCAGCCATGCTGAGGTGGCGGCCCACATACAGCAACTAGAAGGATGTGAAACTATGACATACAACTATCTACTAGGGTTTTGGGGAGAAAAAGGGGAAAAAAAGGAGAAGGATTGGCAATAGATGTTAGCTCAGGGCTGATCTTCCTCACAAAAAAAAAAAGAAGAATGCATCAGACCAGGTAACAAGATCCCAAGAGTTGCAGAACCTACTAGGTCCGTGAGTACCTGGGGGGCAAGGGGCCACACAACACTTCACAGCAGTTCTTCACAATGTTGCCATGGCTGTAGGGATTCTGGACACGATTCTTCCCTGTCCATGAGCCTTTGATCTGCAAGATAAAAGAGAAGGCTTAAATTAAACATTATGTTGAAGAAATAAATGCAGCATGGGAAGATGAAAAAGTTCTGGAGACGGATATTGGTGATGGTTGCACAACAATGTGACTACTAATGCCATTGAATCGTATACCTAAAAATGTTTAAGATGGTACATTTTGTATATTTAACCACGATAGGAAAAGAAAGGAAATACATGCATAGCCATGGAAAAATATTCACAATGGACTGAAAGAAGCAAATAACTGAACAGTATGTATTATTTTCTTTAAAAAATACGTAATATATTCACATAAACAAACATGAGAACAAGTCTAGACAAGTCTAGAAGACTATAAATCATACCATTAACAATGGTGATGTCTAGGAGGTAAAGTTACAGGGACTTATTTGCTATTTTTTGTTCATTTGTGTTTTCTGATTTTCTACAATGAACCGTGGATTACTTGGTAACTTTTTAAAAGCAAGGATTTATTCAGTACAACTATGCTTCCCCATTCCAAATCCAGAGGCACCAATTAGCCATTAAGGATCTATGAACAGCTGAAGACCTTGCACTCACCCAACCATTCAACCTCTTCTTCCTAATTCCCTACAGGCATTCAGCTGCAAACAAAGCAGTCTGCTTTCTCTTCCACACATTGGATTTAACAATCTCCCACACCAGGTTTCTGCCTGCTTTGACCTCCCGGGCCCTGGAAACTCAGTTCTCTAGCAGGTAATGAGAGAATAGGCTTTGGGAGCAGAATATGTGATGAGAAGGGAAAGTTGACTCACATCTTCATTGGTTGTCTGGTTGAGAGCCACAAGGAAAGTATGAAATCCAGTGAGTCCCACGACGGACCAGAGTGTGAAGAAGCAAATGAGTACTTCTAGAACAGTGAGGTGATGTTAAGGACTGTTGAAGCCATACCAGGGGACTCGATGCCTCAGCCCATACTCATGGCACCAGTCACACCATCTTTACCTCTCGGAACATATATCACAAATGGCCAAGGATCCATATATAACAACAGATGAATTCTAAACTTGCTGGATATATCCCTTATGAAAGGTAAAGGACTGCTGTTTATTCACTGTGAGTAGCTAACATCTCTAGTGTACTGAAGTGTGCGTCTGTTTATTCCTCATTAACTCTTTGAAGGGGATGTTTAGAAGGGGCCAAAGCTCAATAAAGCTAAACATCACTGCCAATGGAAAAGCTGTCAAAAATAAACTTTATAAATGAAAAATTGGCGGGATAAAATAGGATGTGATTTATAAAAATCACATCTGAACCTTCTTTTCATAAATGCAACAGCTGTACAAAATAAGCCTTAGCTGTAACAGGAAGGTGGGACTTCCACTAAGTGACATAAGAGCTACACTGAGGCAAAGCCAGCCCACTAGAGGAGGAGGGCTGAGCCTGGGATCAGAAGGACTTGGGAGGGAGGCAGGAGAGAAGGGGGTGGGGTAAAGATCTCTCTTGAAGCCCTGGCCATCTTCCATTCAGCTTGCTACCGCTAAGACTACATTTCTTTATTTTAGACATTGGCACTCTCTGACGTCTGAAAACTGAGATGGTGGGAGAACATGCTGGAAAGTAGTTTAAGAGGGCTTCACAGGGACGTACTGCCAGGGGAGGATATGTTCCAGGAGTTTCTTTCAATGTCTCCAGGAAGCCAATTTTCAAGGATTCTGTGAAATTGGGAAGAGAAGAGAAAAAAATTAGTGACTTTAGTAAAAAATGCACACTTATCACCTATAAAATGAAAACTACAAAACATTATGGAAAGAAATCAATGATGACATAAAGAAATGGGAAGACATCCCATGCACATGGATTGGAAGAATAAACATAGTTAAAATGTCTATATTACCTAAAGCAATCTACAGATTCAATGCAATCCCAATCAGAATCCCAATGACATTCTTCACGGAAATAGAAAAAAGAATACTAAAATTCATATGGGGCAACAAAAGACCCCAAATAGCTAAAGCAATCCTAAGAAAAAAGAACAAAGCAGGAGGCATCACAATCCCTGACTTCAAAACATACTACAAAGCAATAGTAATCAAAACAGCATGGTACTGGTACAAAAACAGACACACAGATCAATGGAAGAGAACTGAAAGCCCAGAAATAAAACCACACATATACGGACAGCTAATTTTCGAGAAAGGAGCTAAGAACATACAATGGAGAAAGGAAAGTCTCTTCAATAAATGGTGCTGGGAAAACTGGACAGCCACATGCAAAAGAATGAAAGTGGACCATCTGCTATCGCCATTTGCAAAAATTAACTCAAAATGGATCAAAGACCTGAAGGTGAGACCTGAAACTATAAAACTCATAGAAAAAAATATAGGCAACACACTATTTGACAGTGGTCATAAAGGAATCTTTTCGGATGACATGCCTACCCAGACTAGGGAAACTAAAGAAAAAATAAACAAGTGGGACTGCATCAGATTAAAGAGCTTCTACAAGACAAACGAAACCAGAATCAAGATGAACAGCCAACCCACCAGCTGGGAGAAAATATTTGCAAAACATATATCTGACAAGGGGTTGATCTCCATAATATGTAAAGAACTCACACAACTGAACAACAAAAAAACAAACAACCCGGTCGAAAAATGGGCAGAGGAAATGAACAGACACTTCTCCAAAGAAGATATACAGATCGCCAGTAGGCACATGAAAAGATGTTAAACATCACTAATCAGCAGGAAAATGCAAATCAAAACAAAACTAAGATATCACCTCATGCCCGTTAGAATGGCTATAATCACCAAGACAAAAAACAACAAATGTTGGAGAGGATGTGGAGAAACAGGAACCCTCATACACAGCTGGTGGGAATGCAAACTGGTGCAGCCTCTATGGAAAACGGTATGGAGATTCCTCAAAGAATTAAAAATAGAGATGCCCTATGATCCAGCCATCTCACTACTGGGAATCTATCCAACGAACCTGAAATCAACAATCCAAAGAGGCTTATGCACCCCTATGTTCATTGCAGCATTATTCACTATAGCCAAGAAGTGAAAGCAACCTAAGTGTCCCTCCACTGATGATTGGATCAAGAAAATGTGGTATGTATACACAATGGAATACTACTCAGCCATAAAAAAAGACAAAATCGTCCCATTTGCAACAACATGGATGGGCCTGTAGGGTATTATGTTAAATGAAGTAAACCAGAAAGAGAAAGACAAACACTGTATGATCTTACTCATATGTGGAATATAAACCAACACATGGACAGAGAAAACTGTATTGTGGTTACCAGGGGCAATGGGGGTGGGGAGTGGGCACAAGGGGTGAAGGGAGACATATATATGGTGATGGACAAACAAAAATGTACAACCCAAAATTTCACAATGTTAAAAACTGTTAAAACATCAATAAAAAAATGCACATTTATCCTAGTACCTACTCACCTCCTTCCCTCCCGATCCCTTGTTACAAGGTGGCAAGAGATAAGCCCTCATTCGGGCAAGTGGCTGTCACCCCAAGCCGGTAGTCTCCTGACCAAAGTGTTCACATTTCCAATGTAGGACCAGGCACTGGCCTAGAGAGTTGGGCAGGAGCCATGCATCCGGCTCCCCTCCCTTTTCCCTAGCCTCCAACTTTGGGCATGGAGGGGGATATTCATTCATAGATGAAAGAAATAAAAAATATCCAAGAAAAATCCTCTCTCCTCACCAATCCATGTCCTTCCTCTGTTCAAAATCCAGCTGAGAACTCATCTCTTCCCAGGAAGCTGTCTTGATTGAGATCACTCCTTTAACTCCACATCCCATCTGCCCCTAGGCTGATTTATGTGTGTTGTGTGTGTGCATGCGAACACATGAGGATATGTATTTTCAATCGCCCAAAGTAAACCATGAGCTACTAAAAGGGATTTCTCTAGTATAACTCTTCTACCACCTGGCACAGGGCAGATCTTACAAGGCAGAAGAAAGGATGCATACAGCAAAATACATCCCCAACCTTTGGGATCACCTCAGAAATGACCAGTACTCTGGGTACAGACCAATAATTACGTCCCCGTCCCCAGCAAAGGGCCAGTGAGAAGGCCAACACAGTCAGTAAATACTGACTGATGTGAGCTGAGGTTTGGAGCCCTGCTCGAGAGCAGAGAAGAGAGTAGTGCTCATTTCTAACTGGTTCTAAGGTGCCTTCGCAATGGTAAAGTCCCACCAGGAAACGCAACCACTCCCCTAAGCTGTCAAGTCTTCTCCTACCCCAATCCCCACTCCAACAACAGACACTGCCCGGCATACTCACTGAGGGCCACATAGACGATGTTGAAGGCGAAGACATAGATCGTGAGGAGGGAGAGAGAAAGGATGAAGAGGTAGAAGTAGCGGTAGTTCCTCTTTCCAACACAATTCCCCACCCAGGGGCAGTGATGGTCGAAGCGCTCTGTGGGAGAAAGAGAAAGTCCAGTGCCACAGCCTCCAAAACAAAGCACGACTCCGCCATCCACGGAATACCTAACTCAAAGACCCCCAGGATCACTGCCTATTTCAATTGTAAAAAACACTGGTTTCTATTGTTCACTTTTTCACAATGTTTTCGTAGCCATCTCATTTGATCCCCACAATCACCCTGGAAATTGAGCAAAAGAAGATATTCTCTTCCTCATTTTACAGATGAGGAAACTGAGGCACTGAGAGGTTAAGTGATCTGTCTCAGTGCCAGTTAACAGCAATGACCTTGGTTTTTCAAAGAAAAATCTTAGTAGGTGGGCCTATTAAGTTCAGGAAGGATAAATAGATGAAAATAGCCAAGGAAATTTTGAAAAATGAGTAGTGTGGTTTTTCTTAACCTCCAGTTAGTAAAAAATTATAAAACTACAATACTTAAAATGGTGTGGCACAGCTCAATGGAATGGAAAGCACTCAGAAACAGATTCTGGAATGTATAAGAATTTACTGTCTAACAAAGGCAGCACTACAAAATCAGTGGTGAAAGGAAGTATTATTCCATAAACAACTCTGAGACAATTGGCTATTTGGTGGAAAATAAGGTTAAATTTTTTTCTTCACACTATTTATCAAAATCAATTCCAGATGAATTAAAGAGTTAATGTAAAAAACAAAGTGAACCCATAAAATAATAAAAAATAATAGATGAATATTTATCGAGAAGGCCTTTCTAAGCATAAAAGTAATGGACGAAAACAGAGATGACAAAGAAAAATAGATTTGACTCCATAAACTTTAAAAAATATTTTCTATATGTTAAAAATACTATAAAGAAAATTAAAGAGGAAAAAAAAAACCAACAGGAATGTTTGTAAATTTTGTACCTTAGTATATGAAAAGTCCTTACAAATCAATAACAAAATACAAATACTCCTTCAAGAAAATAGCCAAAAGGCAAAAACAGAGTTAATAAATACCATATAAACATATATTTAAATGTTTTCAGATTCACTAATAATTTAGTTCAATACCAGTACAACAATAAGACACTTTTTTGCCTATCAAAATAATAATATAAAAAATAATATCCATTGCTAGTGAGAATAGGGTAAAATGGACACTCTAGTATACTGTTTGTGGGAGTATAAATTGAGAGAATCTTTCTGGAAAGCAATTTGGCAGTATGTATCAAAAATCTTAATGATCACACCCCTTTGGCAGAATAAATCCATTTTCAGTAATTTCTCATAAGGAAATAGAGATGTGCACAGAAATTTAAGTTCAACAACGTTTGATTAAATTTTTTATTGTGGTAAAATATATATAGCATACAATTTGCCATTTTAACCATTTTTAAGTGTACAATTCAGTGGCAACCAATGTCATGCAACACCACCACTACCTATTTCCAAACACTTTCATCACCCCCAAACAGAAACTCTGTACCCCTTAGACAGTAACTCTCCATTATCCCCTTCCCCTAGCCCCTGCTAACCTCTAATCTTCTCTCTATCTCTATGAATTTGCCTATTCTAGATATTTCGTATAAGTGGAATCATACAATGTTTGTCCTTTTGTGTCTGGCTTCCTTCACCTAGCATAACGTTTTCAAGGTTTATCCATGTTGTAGCATGTATCAGCACTACGTTCCTCCTTATGATTGAATAATATTCCATTGTATGGATATACCACATTTGGTTTATCCATTCATCTATTGATGGACACTTGGATTGTTTCCATCTTTTGGCTATTGTGAACAAAGCTGTTATGAACACTGATGTACAAGTATGTTTGAGTCCCTGTTTTCAATTCTTTTTGGTATTGTTATGGACAGAATTGTCCCTCCTCCCCCCAAAAATGCACATGTTGAAGCGCTAACCCCTAATGTGACTGTATTTGGAGATAGGGCCCCTAAGGAGGTAACTAAGGTTGAATGATGTCATAAGGGTGGGGTCCTAATCCAATAAGACTGGTATCCTTATAAGAATAGGAAGAGACACCAGGAGTGCACCAGCACAGAGAAAAAAACTTGTGAGGACACAGCAAGAAGGTGGCCGCCTGCAAGCCAGTTAGAAAGGCCTCACCAGAAACCAACTCTGCTGGCACCTTAATCTTGGACTTCTAACCTCCAGAACTGTGAGAAAATAAATTTCTGTTATTTAAGCCACCCAGTCTGTGGTATTTTGTCACGGCAGCCCGAGCAGGCTAATACAGGTATATACCCAGGAATTGCCGGATCATATGAATTCTATGTTTAACTTTTTGAGGAACCACTAAACTGTTTTCCACAGTGGCTGCACCGTTTTACATTTGAACCCAAAATGTATGAAGTTTCCAATTTTGCCACATTCTTAAATTTAATAATTTTGACTGCAGTGTTATAACAATGAATGAAATGGAATCATGAATAATATCTAATGACAGGAGACTGCCTAAATAAACTAGAATATAGCCATATGATGGATTATGCAGTCATTAAAATAATATATTAAAAAACGTTTATTAAAGATGTAGAAAAATGCTCAGGATATAGTGCTAAGTGACAAAGGCAGGATTAAAAACTCTATCATGTGTGATTGAATTTCACAAACAAGAGAGAGACTGGAAGGAAATACAGCAAAATGGAGAGTGAGTTTGGGATTAAATTTTATTTACACTTTTTGTACTTCCCATATTTTCTACAATGAACATGTATTATTTTAATGAATCAAAAAAATCACAAAGAATAAAATACATCATTTTTAAAGAACAATGAGCTGTACTGTCAAAAAATACAGGTGTGCACTGGTCAAAACATAAGGCTGTAAGAATGGTACATCTCTTGATTAAAGGGCTACAGTATATCTTTTCAGAAAAGGGAAGGAAGATGGAGAGGAGTGGTGAATGCCTGGATCAAGAATTACAGATGTAACCTTAGTTTAAGCAAACCTGCCATGTAAAAACATTACAAAATGCAGATTTATACAGACATATTTTTACCATATTTTAAATCACACTTTTTTCTGATAATACAAGTAATACATGCTCCTTGTAGAAAACTTGAAAAAAAAATTTTAAATGAAGGAAACAAATTCACTCATAATCCCAAAACCTATAGATAATGAACTATAAGCATTCTGGAGTATTTCCTTGCATATTTCTTTATACGTACTTACGTTTTTTTAAATATGTAACTGAGATCACACTATATGTAAATGTAGCCTATCTTCTGCCTCATTTCATTTAACTTTCTGGTATGAGCTTTTCCCATAAAAGTCTATAGTATGAATCTCCCACAATTTTTTTGACCATCTGTCTACTGGTGGACAATTAGGTTCTTTCTTATTTTTCATTATTATAATCCCAAGGTAAATATTTCCATACCTAAATCTTTTTACCACATCCCTGATTATTTTCTTAGGACAGATTCCTAGGAAAGGAATCACTGGCATCAAAGGGTAGACATGTTTTAAGGCTTTTATAAATCTTACTAGGTTACCATCCAAAAAGTTGGTTCCAATTTACCCTCCTACCAGTAGTGTAGGACTAAGCATTATCAGGTTTTCCTTGCTAATTTTCTAGATTAAAAAAGATCCTATTTTAATTTTTATTTCTTTGATTTTTAGTAGAGATGAACATTTCTTTCATGTTAACTAATTGCATTTTCTGTCTTATCTGCTGTCCATATTTCTACTGGAATATTCATGCTTTTTTTTAAAAATCAATTTGTATGAGTTATTTATATTTAAGAATATTCCTAAGGAGAGGGAATTCTTTATGAAAATCTTTACATCAGACCTTCTCAAAAAATCAAGTTTCCTAGCTCATTTAAAATGAGTTTCAATTTATAAAAATCCTATCTACATATAGCTTTTTACCATGTAAGTAAGATATATCTTCCCAACCTTTGCCTAAAGAATTGGTTAATAAGAGGAAAGCAATGTACTCAGGCATGCTCCGTGGCATATATAAAGAAAGCAGGAAGTACGCTTATTGAGAATATAAGGAATTGCACAGATGTGCCTATCGATAGATGTATTTACTGCCTGTCTCTGATCTTTCCCAGGTTTCAGCACACACTAGGCAGTGATTACAACTAAGCCACAGATACTCAGATAGAAGCACAGACCCATGTATTATGCACATGTACACCTGCCACCCTTGCAGCACCAGCAGCAGAGAAAGAAGAAATGAGGGTTTGGGAATCAGATCTGTTCCAGCTTCATCTCATACTAATTATAGGAACCTACACAAAGGTGCTTCACCTACTTCCTCATTTGTAAGATGGGGATGATACCTATCTTATGGGGTTCTTGAGTCTTAAATGAGAGAAATGGAAAGCACTTAGCATGGTACCTAGTATATACCAGGAACTCAGTAAATGCTAGCAACTCTGTTCTTGGGAACACTACTTCTTACATAGCCCTTCCTTCCCCGATGCTGCCCTCCAGTGGACTAGGGTTCTCCTCCCCCTATGTAAGGTACCAGGTTCCACTTGAAACAGATCCAGTAGAGGAAAATCTAGATTTGAAAAACAGGTAAAGTTTATTTCCCCATTTACGAAAGAGTTTCTTCTTTTTTAATTGTAGACTAGAGGATACTTAAATTACAATTTGATCTACAGAAGTACAGTTGATTTACAGTTGTTCAGAAGCTTTTTCCCTATTTCAAATTTCCTAACTGAATCTAGCTTGTTTGCTATCTAAATCTATCTTCCCACTCCTATTGATTTTTCCCGAGAAAAATCACCCTGACCCTCCTCTTCAACTCAGCCTTTCCCCCAGGCAAAGCCCCTCTGGTTTTACTCACCCACACAGTTGTCACAGATGCTGCAATGGGAGGCCCGGGGAGGCCGGAAGATCTTGCACGTATAACAATATTTCAGCTTCACAATCTGGTTGTTTATCTGGAAATTCTTGATACGAGGGGGTGGTCGCTGGCCCTGGGGCACTGCACCATTGGTAGCTTCTGTAGATCAGTAGAGACAATTAACATCCCTGCTAGCCATTATTTGAGCCCAAAAGTCTCACCACCTCTCCAAAAGCAATGGGAGTAATCAAAGGTTCCCTAGGCCCACTGTCTTCTCTAGACAAGCATTTCCAGACTAGACTCTCAAGATTAGAGTGTCCCCCAAAATTCCACTGAGTGCCATGCAATTCTTTTGTGGACATGTGAAAAAGTGTTTCTTCAAGTGTTTTGGTTGATTACAAAGAAAAACATTTATAAAAGAAGAAATAAAAATGACTAAAAAACGTATGAAATGAAAACATCCAACTTCACTAATAATCAAAGAAACAAAAATTAACACAAAGATACCATTTCCACCTACCACATTAACAAATATTAAAAAGAACACGGGGCCGGCCCTGTGGTGTAGCAGTTAAGTGCACGCTGGCGGCCAGGGTTCGGATCCCGGGTGCCCACCGATGCACCACTTGTCATGCCATGCTGTGGTGGCATCCCATATACAGTAGAGGAAGATGGGCACGGATGTTAGCCCAGGGCCAGTCTTCCTCAGTTCTACTTCTAGGAACTTACCGAAATTACCAAGAGATGTACAAAAGACGTTGACACAAGGCTATGTGTCACCGAGTCCCTTTTAATAGTGAAAAACTGAAAATAACCTGAATGTCACAATAGGATGTTGGTTAAAGTAAATTATCATACATGCACAGGATGGAATATTATGCGACCACTTAAAATGATGTAGACGAGCAATTGACAACACAGGAAAATATTCACAATATATTGCAAAATAAAAATGTACGCTAAAAAGCAACATGTATAAAAGGATATTATCTTGCAAAAATAAAATATATGCATGAAAAAAGACTGGTAATACTATCAGAGAAACAATTATTTAAAAATGAGAGTAATATATGCTTATTGTAAAAAATTTGGAAAAAACAGAAAATATAAATAAAAAATAAAAATCACTGCTAATCTCTCAACTCAGGGATATTCATGCAGTTTGGTGTATTTCCTTCTATTTTCTCTTAACAGATAAAGAAACATTCAAGATTTTTTAAAATCTGAGATCATAATATAAACACAATTTTGTATCCTGTATTTTTCACTTAACATTATATTGGCGAACATTTTTCCACTGTTGTGAATTCTTTTTCTGAAAACATCAGTATTGGCAACATAATATTCCATCATATGCATGTACTGTAATTTATTTAACCATTACATATTGTTGGCATTTAAGTTGCCTCTGGTTTTTTACTATTTTAGCAATGCTGCATGCAAAAACTCAAAATATTACAGATAAACTTAAACGCTTTTGATCACCATCCCAACTCCAATTCCCTCCTCCCTTCCTCAAGAATATATTCATGTGTTAAAATTAATTTCTAAAACAGAAAGAAAGAAGAAAAGCATGTTGAAGTTTGAGCAGTAATATATGAAGTTGATGGTATTAAAACAGCTAGGCCCATATTAAAAAGAAAAAAAGCAGAAAGAAAAAATTATGCACTAAAAATCCTTCCACAGTAGTTTGTGTAAATCTCTGATTACTTCTTTTAGCTAAACCCTGAGAGAAGCGGAATTACTGGGTCAAAGGGTATGAACCATTAAAGCCCATATTACTTATTGTCAAACTGCTTCCCAGACAGATTGTACCAGTTTGCACGCCCGCTCATCTGCAGCATAGAAGAGTGCCTGTCTCATTGCACCCTAGCTGTGCAGGATAATTCTAAAAACAGAGTATTTTTTTAATTCGCTTTGATTTTAAAAATATCTGCCATATGGAACTTTTTTCCTTTTTTTGCTGAGTGGGGTGGATGCTGTGAAATCAAACAACAACAGTGTCACAAGTCTTAAAAGGATGGGGATAGCTATCCATTAGAGGATGATATAAGTACCAAATGCCACCTTAAAATTTCTTTGCACATGCTTTACATGAGGGTATCTGGCAGATAGAGTTCACAGTTCATCCTCCTCATGAGGAGCTATGATGCAAGGGACTCTCATGTCTCCTTCCCTCTCCCCCCACCAGCCCCCACCCACAGCATACCCAGTACAGGGCTGAATGTAAATTGACAAAAACTTGCTAACATAAACATACGTATGAACTCAAGAACGCACTCTTCTATGGAGAGAAACATGCTAAACGCAGAGGTCACAACGTGACAGCTCAAGCCTGGGCTCCAGGCCCAGTGATCTGGCAAAACAGAGCTAACCTTGCTAACAACCTGCTGTGAGATGCAAGAGAAAAGTCAAGGCCCTGCCTTGACCTTCAGTTTCTCAAGATATGAATGGAAAGAGGGTGATAAAAGAACTACCCAGATGGAGAAAACACAGCACTCACAACTCTCCCTCCCCATCTTGCTCCCAACTACCCCAGGTCTCCCCGGAACTCCAGCTTCGCCAACACACCTTGCCTCTGCTATCTTCCCACCATTCCCACCCTCACCCCCTGCCTAGTAGTTTGAGCTCAGATGTGCACAAACCGATGTCTCCTTAGCTCAACTAAAACAGGTCAGAATTTTTCAAAAACAAATTCGCTAAGAAGCTAGAAGGAGAAACGCAGCTAAAATAAACCAAGAAATACAAAAGCTTGGAAGCTTTTAGAGCACCCTGAAAGAGAATCAAATTAACACATTGTATTCCTTAAACTTACACCATGTTATATGTCAATTATATCTCAACAAAACTGGAGGAAAAAAAGAAATCAAGTGGAAATGGGAGAAAATATTTCACTGATGATAGCACGCATATAAACATTAGGAATAAACTCAGTAAGAGAAGTATAGAAACTAGATAAAGAAAACTGTAAAAACTTTATTAAGGGGCATAAAATTTATTCTGAAAATATAGAAAGACACTATTTTCTTGGATAGGCAGATATGATTATAAAAACGTAAAATCTCTCAAAAATAATATATAAATATAAGGTAATACCTATTAGAACCCCAATAGGTTTGTATGTTTTTAATTAAATAAAATTATATTAAAATCCTAAAAAAAAAAAAAAAAAACCCTAAAGGAACTAAAGGCTAACCACAGATTGGCGCTCCATTGGCACAGCTTTGACTCTTACAAGTCCTGGGTCCCTTTCTTCTACTCTATTTGGTTGGATGCTGACTCAAGCTACTTGGGTACAAGACTTGAGAACAATTTAGGCAGGCACTGCTGTTGGGTCTGGTGGGCTCCCAGTCCCTGCGAGTACTGGCATCATAGCCTTCTCTGCCAGTGCGAGCTCCCAGGATATCCCCTCCTCTAGCCCTGGGATGCTCTGTTTCAATTTATAAAGCCATGCTGGCTCCTGAGAAGTGTAGCACTTTACCTCTGTCCCAAAGAGTCCCACCCTGAGCTGCAGACTGCACCGTCATGAGCCTGTACCTGCTTCCTTCGCCATTCCTAGAATTCTCAGTGGTTCCTGGCACCACAGCTGTCCCCTCTCACCTTGTGTTCCCCTAAAGCAGGAATTCTTGGTAGGGGGCCCATGAATGTGCTTCAAAAGATCTATGAATCCCTGAAATTACATTCAAAATTGTATGTATGTGCATCCATACAAAAATATTTTTATGAAGAGGTTTATAGCTTTCACAGAAAAAAATCTAATGAATTGATGACTCCTCAAAAGTAAAAAAGCCCATCCTCTTGGAAACAGTGCAGGAGGACCTTAGTAACAAATCCCTCCCCCACACAGGGAAGAATGAAGCATATGACTTTCGAATTTTGCTACACCTGCCTTACCAAACTGACAGGGTGGTCATGATCTCAGATTCAGGATTTCAGAGGGCAATGGCTAGAAGTGATTATTAATCTGCAACTACTATCATGATTCCAGTCCCTTACTGATTAAAGCCACCCACTGCACAGCATCATGCCAGCTGGTTAGAAAACTTACCTATCTCCATTTCTATGAAAGCAGCTTCATCCGGTAGGGCTCGAGGGATCACTCCAGGGTCACTGAAGCTGGTCCTCAACAGTGTAGCCATGGAGAAAAGGAAGAGCATGGCAGCAAACACAGGGATGGCAGGAGACAGCTGGACAGCCAGGTAGCGGCATCTGAAGAAAGCAGGCAATCGAACATTTAGTTACCTACTCTATAATGACCTCGAATTGTTACCAGTGCGTCAATCTGGTCTCCACAACAAAATCAGCAGTACCTCGAGGGCAGAGACCACACTTTTTACTTCTCTTGAATTGCCCAAAATTCCTAACACGTGGTTCTATACATAGTAGGAGCTCAACAAATACTTAATTGATTGATGCCACATATAACACACAGAAGACAGTCTCAAGGGACCTCCCCTACCCCCAAGCCCAGTCCCTCCTGTCAGCCTGCTGGGAGCCACATTTCCTCTGTGCCTCAGGAAAGGCTCATAGCTGTTAAGGTCAGGGAAGCAACTGAGCCTGGACTTGTAAGCACCGCAGGTTGCTCTCACTCTGGAAATGTCTAGAGCTTTTCATACCCACTCATCTGGCATCAGGCCTGAGCTTGAGGAGGAGGAAGACAAGATGGGGACTAATTATGAAGCAGGGTCCCACTGTTACACATAGGGTATGTCCAGCATGCTTCAAGGCCAATGAAAAGCTTCAGGGCTGCTGAAGCTTTCCTTTTTCTCCTCAATTAGCTCAGCTAGTAGGTGACTAGTGACCACAAGCAACGGAACAAGAAAATTGTCTCCTTAGCACCCCTTCCCAACACCATGTTTGCTCCCCTTTTTCCTCATAATTCACCTGGAAGGCCATTCCTCTTCCTCTCTGGAGATTCCAGCTCTACTCATCTTTCAGGTCCAAGAGACTTCAAAGCTATCATTGTCACCATCATAACCACAATTTATTGAGCACTCACCATATGCCAGGCACTGCAGTAAACTCTTTATATGCATTATCTCATCCAATTCTCACACGAAATCTATGAGGTAGAATCTATTATACCCACTTGATAGATGAAGAAGCTAGGATTTAGAGAGGTCTTGCCTCCTCCAAAAGGCCTACCCTAAGCTGCACTAATCTCTCCCTTCTCTACCCCTGTTGTCCTCACTGCCAGAGTCTTGTATTGTTTCCTAGCTGTTTTTCACTATGTTGACCTCATCTCCCCCTACTGGACTTGATAAGAAAAAGAACCTTGTCTTTTTGGAGCAGGAATGCTTGGGTTTGCATTCTGGCTCTGCCAGTTCCTAGCTGGTGACTTGGTCAACTTCAGTCTCTTTATCTGTGAAATGAGGATAATAGTACTTCATGGGGTCCTTGTGTGGATCAAATGCACGAATATAAATAAAGTGCTTAGAACTGCACTTGCCACATGGTAAACGCTAAGTAAATGTCAGCTATTAACATTATCATCATGGTTCTAAATCTCCCAGAGCCTAATATAAGTAGAGGAACAAAGAAGCTTTCAACAAATACTTGTTGAATTGAACTGAATTGCAAACCAAATAAATGGGAATGTGAGATGAGAGTGACCACTGACCTATTTTTATTCTCCTCCTCTTGAGGCATATTTTCTCCTTCAACACAGAGATCTCTTGGAGACAGACTATACGTGGATGAGCAAGGACCAGAGGGGGAGAAGAGAAAGTAAGTGAAGGAAAAAGGCTTACCTCATCAGCAGGGGAATAAGCAAGCTGCTGTCCACGTGGAGCAAACATTTAACCCCGGGTTGTACATTCGCTGCAGTTTTGGAACAGTCCCCACGAGATCCTCCCCCTGCCTCCCCGCCACACACATGACTGCATGAGGGGTGCAAACCAGCTGTAATATTAGGCTGAGCAGTTTGTCACGGAGGTGAACATATGTAGTGAACTTGCAAAATGATTTTTGTGGCTTTTTGTTTGCTTGCCTGCTTGTTTTTAACAACATCCTTGGTCTTAGCTTGCTTTTGTATGATTTACTTCCTTCTCTTAAAAGCCAAGGGTAGGGGGAAGAATTTGAACTGAAGGATCTGGCTAACTGAGTTCAGGGTAATTAAGGTCCTTGCCACTGGCTAGCTTGATTGTTCCCCTTTTCCATTGTTCTCCTTCACTGGTAGGAGTGAATCAAGAAGTGAATTCAGAATCAGGAGAAAGGACACAGGAGAAACACGAGGCTCCGTTTCAAGAACAACCCAAGTGAAATTACCACGTTAACAGCAAACAGCCATCTTCCTAGTCACTGCCCATCTCTAAGATCCCTCTTGAAAACAAAGAATTAACGTCTCCAGGACTCAAACTGCCCTGGGTGTACAGTCTCCAATCAAAAGCCTTAGAAAAATCAAAGCTATCTGATTGGCCACCGAAGGGAATTTAAATTGTTTTTATTACAGGGAAAAGATACAGAGAGAGTAGAACAATCACACACACACTCACACCCACACCCACACCCATACCAATTAATGTTGCTCCCACACACAGAAGGACCGGAGCTTAACTAAGTCCCGTTTCAACACCTGCTTATCCACCGGACAAAGAACAACTTAGATTTGAATTACGCTACGCCATCAGGGATAAAGGTCTCTGTAGTCTCCACACAGACTATCTTCTGCACCTGCTAAAACAATCCACTCTGTATGTCAACAAGTGCACAAGAGGCCCATTGTATTATTCTCCAGAGATGAGGCTACTGGCAGCCAGTTGTCACCAGTGAGTGGGTGTGGCTGGGAAGGCAGATGTGGGACCAACAGGCCTTTCTACTCTAAGTAAGAGGAAACTTAGAGAGCCAGCAGCTAAGGCTGTTGTGAACTACAACCCATCACGTCTGTCTTTAATTATGATCAAAAGCAACCCCCTAGGTTAGTCCCATAATTGCAGTAAGCTAGAGATCTGTCTCTGACGGGAATAAACTATATGAAGATTTGGTGATGATTCCCAATATTGACCTCAAAAGTCAGGAGTATCCTCAAACATCACTAATTTGTCTTAGTGAAAGACTGGATCTGTCATCCACAAACATAAGGTAACTGTTTTTGAAATCCCCTAGTACTTTCTATCTATATCTCTTCTTGGAATAATGATATCCATACACTTCTCAAAACAGAACTTTCCTTTGTCTTTAAAGTACCAAGAGGTCTTCCCCCTTCCAGGGGGTTAGAAGTTGCTTTTCTCCCTTGTGAATTTTATAAATGCAACCATGTCCCCACTACATCCTCATTTCTGCCACCTGAAGAGACATCATCATTTTAAGCCATCCTCTACCAACCTCTTGACTGGCCTCAGGCTTCCATAGCTGGGCTAGATGATGGGACTCCCACGTCACATGGGCCACATGGTGGTACTGACCAGCAGTAACCAGCAGTGCCAGGCTGGACTGGTGTGTCATGTCCCATCCCCCATCCCTAGCACGCTAGTTCTTTGGAGGGACAATGATAATGACACAGGCTTCAATTCACACGAAAAAACTCAAAAGAGATTCATGAGTGGAGTTGGTGAGAACCCAGACAGATTCCATGGCAGGGCTGTGCTTCACAGACTGGCAGTGTGGCTAGGTGTTCTATACGATAGTCTGCTTCTAAGTCTCCCCAACAGCTTTCTGGCTATGCTTTTTGTTGTTATTCTTTCATCAGGGCAATTAATCAGCCAACAAGTATTTACGGGTCTAACAAAGGAAGAACAAGAGAAATTGGAGTTAATTTTGTTGGGGAAAACAAAACATACATATGAAAACAGTTAAAGAAAGATAAGTCCAATAATCAAGTATTAAGATGGTGATTCAGACTCTAAGGACTGTAAGTGGTCACAGAAGAGGTCTCTTGGGGAGCTGGTGGCTGCTTGAAACTGCTCCCATAGCAGCTGTTAAGGGTGGCTTTAAGGAAGAGCTATGCTTGGAACAGCAGGAAGGGCCAAAGGATTAGAGCCCCACAATGGCCCTTGGTCCCACATAACAGAAATAAGCCTTTGCTATAAGTCCTCCCTGATATGGACGGTTGTCTGTCCTCTTACACACTACCCAGCTCTAGAGCACAATAAACCTGCAGAACCACCGACAAGACTGGTTCAAGGTTCTTCTGATGACACTCAGAGTCTGCTGAGAGGCAAGAAGTTTCCTTGGACACTAAAAACATAATTTAAAATCAGCCCCCAGATTTATTGCTATGTGAAGGTCAGAGAAAAATGGATAACCCTGTTTTGCTACAGTAGCAACAGGGAAAATTAAAAGCAGGAACATTTTCAATTCTGAGGTGATGAGCCATCCTCTCACAGAGAAGGGCCAAAATCTCTGTCCAGGCAAACCTGCTAAGTAGTTGCCAAATATCATTTATGATAACAAATTTCACATTTCAATTATAACAAATATAACAAATAACAAATTCCACTTATAATATACCCATGCTCAAGAACGTAGACCAAGGCCCTGCTTCCTATTATATTAAACCCCAAACTCCACAGGCCAGTATTTTGAGGCCCTCCATTAACTGGCCTTATCTAATCATCATCACAAGGTTCTTGCCTTCTCATTGTTCTGTTCCAGAATCATCCCCCTAATTACCCTGAATTCACCAGCTTCTTGCTATTGCAAGAAGCATAAGGTGCCTCCTTTGTTCTTAAACACAATACCAGCTCTGGCATCTCTGAGGAGAAAGATTTAAGAAATCTCTTCTCTCCCTCAATAAACACCTCAACTGATGTCAGCATGTTGAAGGACATCCCTGTTTTTTGTGCTCACTTTTCCCAAAATAGAAGATCACTACACTCAATTAAGACTCATTCTCAAAAGATGGGAGATGCATTCAGTGGAGATTGACAGTGTGAAACTCATTACCACAAAAGGTAGTAGAGGCTGAAAATATACAGATAAATTCTGGATGACAGAACCGTAAAGAACTGTTCAAGGGAAGCACACTGTTCAGGAGACATAACCCAACCCTCCTCCAGGAAACGTGCTTTATCAGGAAGTTGAGTTTAGCTAACTACTGTAACAGATTGATAAACAGGCAACTATGCCTTTCTAAAACTGTCATTTGGTTGGCCAAGTCACAGACAGAATCTCGGGCTAGATAAAGCACAAGACTGAACCTCCACAGAGCAATTCTCCAGAGAATGCTCTCTTGGTTAGAGAGTGTGATAAAGTCACTTTTTCCTCTTCCCAATCTCATCTAAGGCACTTCAGGAACATGGATCTTGTCACCATTGGCACGTATTTTCTGCCATGTCAGAGTTTGCCTTTGGTCTACATAGCCCTGTGTCTCCTCAAACCTGGTAACTTTGTGTTGTCAGATTGCCTTTTCTCTTTCATCTGTCCACAGGTACATGGTGCCCCTTTCATGAGGACCACCCACAGAGTAACAAGGTAGGGAGCACACACTGCTTATTTTTTTTCTGAGCGTCCTCATCCTGGCAGCAGGGACTAGGAGTGGCCACCAAGGTGATGATCCCTCGTAACTCACACAGCTTACTTTCTAGGTTCACACTTAGAGATGGGCTTCTCTGTTGCTGCAAGGCTACTAGAATGCCATGCCAGAATGCTGTCAGTTTTCCACAAACATGCCTTCGTTTTCTAGTAGCATGAACTGGGGAGGCTCAAATAACCTAGACGCCACTAGGTAACACAAACACTAGCTAGCAAGAACCCAGAATACGTTGGCCTAGAGTTCGGCACTATGCACCACTTTAGTAATCTGAATGTCTTCAGGATTCCATATTGAAAGGCAACAATGAGATGAGAGGTAGAGTCACAGAGAGGGACTGGCTGGCCAACCAATCTTGATGAAGTAACCTCGTTTCTGTGGGCCTGATTTCCTCATCTGCAAAAGGATGGGGATAGTCCCCAAGGCCCCTGCCAGCTCTACCATTCTATGATTCTGTGAGTCAAGACTATTATATCACATTCGAAGTGCATCCAGAATGTCTTAATTCAGCAACATTTATTGACCACTTACTCTATGTAAGGCCTGGTGCAGGTCACTGTGGGGGACACACAGACATAGGAGATAGTCCCTGACATTGAAAGAGCTCAAAGTATAATAACCACAGAATTCAGAAATATGAGAAATGAAATATGGTTATGTGTTAAATGAGTGATATGTACAATTAGTCCTATGAATGCAGAAATTACTGGAAAGGTTTCATGAAGGAAGATTCAAGAAGGGACTTGAAAGAGAGGTAGAATTTGGATAGGCTAGCAGTGGGACAATTACTAAGCAGTGCTACAAAGCTTTTTTCAGTTCATCCAACTTAATGACTCCTCCGTACATCAAAAGCACCCATGAAGGTCAGTTCAACAGGGCTTGTAGTGCCTTGATACGATTTCCTCTATGTACAGCACAGTGAGGCAGAAGCGCTGATCAAAGCAGCAAACAGCTTCTAATTCAGGGGTCAAGAGTCACACAGCCATTCTTGCCACAAGAGAAGTCTGGGGACCTTAACCCCAACAGTGATCTGGTCACAAAGTTTAAAGAGACAGCTAGGAAGCCAATTCCAGAAGACAGTGCCCTTGGTCCTTTCCCTAAGCTTTATTAGGAAGTTGAGTTTAACTAAATACCAGCATAGCCTTTCAGTAGCTGGACAGAGGCGGAGGTTGTCAGTGTTATTCTGCTATAGTGTCCTGACACTCCCCACCAAGGCGGCGGCTATGTGTTCATCACACAAGCTGGACAGGGTTTGGGCAGAAAGGACTGAGAATGGTTCAAGTCCTCAAAGCTGAAACTGGCATACACACTCACATTTCCTAAATATCTCACCCTAAGAATAAATTCGGAAATCCTTTTTTTTTTTAGCACTGTACAATTTTCACTCTGCTTTTAAATTCAAATGCATTTACCATAGATACAATTACATTTAAATACATAAATACATTTAAAGACAGTTACTTACTGGTAATCTTCTATACTTTCCTTTTCTGTGTGTGTAATTGAATCTTCCAGACAGACACAAGAGTTATACAGAATTTCAGACTCCTGTAGTTGCAAGAGGCTTAGTGATAATCTAGCCCAATTTCCCATCCCGGGCAGGAATCCACTGTGACAGCAGCCTTGAAATGGCCACCCAGCTTCTTTGGAAACAATTCTAACAATACAGAGCTAACTAGCTCCTGGATGGACAACCTTTTCTCGTTTTATGTATTCAATCCACTGTCTGTCCACTGAAAATTATAGGTCCCTCCTTTGAGAAGTCTAAACACGTAAAGGCAAAATCCAAAAATAAAAAGATATCCACTGGCACTACTAACACTGCACGCTTTTCATCAAGGGGCGCCCACGGGCCTGACCAGATTTCTCAAGCCATCTGGCCGACCCAGGGCTGTGCCACAAGCAGCCATAAATCAACTCGCACTTGTTCCTAAGCACCTGCTGCAAGCAGGACCCTGTTACTAAAACGCAGGACCAGATGTGCCCCAAGATCTGGACTCTCTTGCTCAGGGCAAACACGCAGCAGCCAGAGGATGTGGAGTCTATGCTCCTGGGCAATGTGAAGATGAAAATAGATAGCCCTTTGTCACTGGTGGTTCAGAGACTCTCACCTGCCTGAAGACCGCGGGCCAAGTCAGCTGATTTCCTGAGGTCTCCCTAAGTTCTAATACCAACGAAGGAGCCCATATTCTGTCCCCCAAACCCTATCCCCCACTGTGCAGTTGGTAGTAAATTATATACTTCAAAAAAAGGTCGACTAGAAAGAGACTTCATTCCTCAGAGGCATGCTGGTGTCCTTCGTATGGCCTGTCATTCATTGGCTAGGCACAAGGCAGCCACCATCTAGAGTGTCTGTATATCACACACACACACACACACACACACACACACACACACGCACGTTCATAGATTCCACCACTGCCAGTAAAAAGGATTCATCGCCAGGGTCCTCTCCCCTTTGGTCAGATTTATACTTCCCCATTCCACTCCTCAGCTAGCACATTTACTTCCTTTCCCCCTTCTTCTTTCTCCCTCCCCCAGTCCTATCCTCAAAAATATTTACTCTGTTGCACAGACCGCTGGAACTCAAGGCAGTTTGCAAACAACCTCATCCTTCACGTCTGAGGGCAAAGCGCAAGAAATAACTTGGGGAAAAAAGTCATCTTGGTAGACCCTCAACGTGCCTCTGTCAAACAGTAACTTGGCTAATTACAAGGTTCATCCCCCAGGCAATTTTCTTCAGAGGCCCTCAGGGCCTAGTGGAACAGATCCAAATCAGATTCTGTCTGGCTCCCAGGTACAAAAAGGGCCAAATGCCCATAGCTCCAAATTTCAAGTTCCCCTGGCCGGTCAAACCAGAGGTTTTCTGGGCCCAGCATTACCAGCTCACTCAGGGCCTGGAAACAAATTTCATCTCTGTTTTGAATGCCTCCAACCACAAAAATTTAACCCCAAGGCGGAGGGTCGGGAGTGACAAAAAGAGCTAGTGATTCAGCAGGGGAAGGAATGAAAGAGAGGGAGAATGATAGCGAGCAGAGTTCAGCTCTGCACTTCCAAAAAGAAGCAAGGCAGGAATAAAGCAAAGAAAACTTGGAGAGAAGGATGAGGAGAGGGGAAATTTTTTTTAATGTTCTGCATATATCTGCCTGACAACACAGGCTCATGTGTACCACACACAAGCACACACACAAAAACACACTCAGCCATGAAACTCAAACTGGAAAGCAGGTAAGAAGCCATCATCACCTTGCCTGACTTCGTCAAGTACTCCACGAAGTCGGCAGCAACAGCAGCAAAAGCGCCTTTGACCTTACTTTCCTAACCCTGTTATAAACTGGGTCCCCCACCCCCTGCTGTTAGTCAAGCCAGCCACAACCATCATAAAGTCTGGCAAAGCAGCCTGAAAAATCACTCTTGATGTACTGGGAAAGCCTGAAGCCCTTACAGAAGAAGGACAAAAATGAGCCCCAAGAGACCACAGCTCATTTTAATTACCCACAGAGGCTGGCCAAGGAGCCCCCTCCTCCCTCCCATGGCCACGCCCCAGCATGGGAGCTCCATTTCCAGGCCACCCAAGTACATGAACTATAGCAGGTTCATATCAGGTGTGGCTCGCAGTCCATGCACATGCCTCTTGACTCCCCAAGGCCCTCCTATAATAATCCCAAACCAATTAGCATTGCTCCCATCCCTAGAGTGTACAGCATTCTCAACATGTAGTCATGCTACAGTACCCTAGAATCCAACTGGCCACCTCCCTAGAGCAGTGACCTACACAGACTTCATACAGTGGCTCTAGTACTAGCTATTACGTAACAGAAAAAAATAACTCCAAGGCTGGTATCAGGCACACACAGAATAGAGAGTTGTTTATGTGGAGTGATTTTGAGTGAAAGAAAGAGCAACTCACATTTAATAAGCACATATGCGCCATGCACACAGCTAGTTTGTGGCACAGCTGAAGCTGGAACCAATCTGCAGGTTCCCAGTTCAGGTGGCTTTTCAATTTAACAGCTAGCTGAGAGCTGAGCCCTAAGGAAATAGGACCCAGAATAACAGAATAGGTGAGCATTGTGGGGTGGAGTTATGACCACGAGGGGTGCCGGTAGGCTCCGGAGGAGTGGGGAAGAGGCAGTCTGTCACTAAGCAGCCAAGGAGACCACTGAAAAGGGGAGATGAGTAAGAAAGACAAACTCTTTTATTTCCCAAGTGTGCCAGGGGTAGCCCCAAATCAGTGCTATAAAATCGGTATCCAAGGTCTTGGTCATTTTAGGAAGCACGTACTCTGCTATAAGCCCAAAGCAATGAATTCAGTTTTCATGATCTATAGACACTGCTCAACAGGACAGTGATAGCCATCCAAGGACCATCCACAAACTCCCCGGAAAGGAGGTTCTTCCCCTGGACCCAAAGTAACAATAATGAGGCATCTCTACTCAATGGAAACTCACTCGAAGGCGAAGAAGAGTGTACATGTTCCCAGGATGAGGAAGAGGGTCAAATAGAAGATGCCCTTTTGCCGGGCCATCATGACACGGCCATCACAGCAGAAGGTGTTCCTGCCTGGGAGTTTCTCCCACTTCCGCGTCACCTTCTTTCGCACCACCATCACAGACATGATTGGAATTCCTGGTCCAAAATGGGCTTTGTGATTACAAGAGAGAAGAAACAGAAGTTGAGCCCAGCTTTGAAATCACGTTGCCTGCTATTGTTGCCGCTGGGTCAAACATCATCAAAAGTCCAATTTCTAGCCCTAAGAGAAAGCACAAAAAGAAAAAAAATGAGGCAGGAACAAGAAAATGCAGTTCAATCCTCCTTTCCCAGTGGCAGAAAGATGAGCACTGCCTGAAGGGGTGGGGGTGGGGAAGTGGGGAAAGTTTATTTCCAATCTGTGTTTGCCCTCTAAAAGGAGAAAAGGTTAAAGGTTCTCAAAAAACAAACAAAAAAAAAAGAAGAGGGCTAGTATATCTTCTTAAATATATCCCTATGCTTCCAATGATCATCATAGAACCTTGAAACTAGAAGGGTGATAGCCCCAATTACTTTGCTTTAGAAATAAATAAAGTGAAAACCAGAGAGAGGAAATAACTTATCCAGGGTCACCCAGCCACAAAGCTAAGCCAAGAAAACACACTTGCTGACTTTCAGTCCAGGGCACTTTCCACTTTACCACATTGTTCTGTAATCATCATTAAGAGGACTCTAAAAATAATAGTAGAGTTTCTGTCCTTAAAGAGCCATTCCCTCCCCTCCTCCACTTCTTCGCCTTCTTTCTTCAATTAGCCACTCACATATGAATCACGCCAGGGAACAAGTCACCCTCTGGCTAGGAGATTCTAGACACTGGGTACACATACCCAGGTTGTATTTACCCAAAACAGATTTCTCCTAATCAAACCCTCTGTAACTTCCTGAGTCCGGGAAATGAACAAATCTTGCTGGTCTAGCGTAACATTTGTGGGAATCTTAATGAAACCACATCACAGACCTGTAGGTGAAAGGCTGATTAAGCAGGAGAGGCTCTGGAATGGTTGGGGGGGTGGGCAGGGAGGTAGCAGCAGTTAAGAAAAGTCATAAAGGTGCTTTCCGGGACATTTCCCAAGTACCATCTCTACTTAGCATCCTGAATCCCCAGGCCCAGCCTTTCTCAGCCACTGCCACCCTTCTCCTCCTCTCAGGTGTGGTGCTGTGGCCTCTATTTACTGACACCACATGCCCCACGCTGGCAAGAATGAGGCGGAAGCCTGCAGCCTGACTGACTGAGGAGAAACAACCAAGTGGAAATCATTACCAGGCTGGAGAGAGCAAAGGTCCAAATACAGACTAGGAGATGAGCGGGGGAAATGAGAAGGTGGAAGGCTTGGGAAAAGGGAGGGGGCACCAGAGGTGCAAAGAACACTTCCTTTGTGTAAAACTAACCTGGAAAACAATCTCCTCCTGATAAACTAGCCCAGCGGGAGAAGAGAGACCAGGAAGGGGTGCGGGCCTGGGAGAACAAAGATCAAAATCCGTCGAGAACCAGCGACCGGCCCACCAGCCGGGGGCCCGAGGCCGGAGTCCGGGGCCCGGCGGCGGGCGCGGCCTCGGGAGACCCGCCCTGCCTCCGCCACGCAGCGGACCACCGCCCCAGGCAGGTTGGGACGCGCGCCACCTCCACACGCTCGTACACACTCACACACGCCCTGCCACGTGTAGTCACCCCCGTCCGGGGGCTCGGCAGCTGCCGCGTTGAGAAGGGCAGTGCCAACATTCCCGCGTCCCGGCGCGGCGGAGGGGTTGGCAGCCCACCATGCGGCCGAGCCCAGGAGACCCCCACCCCCACCCCTTGTTACCTGAACCCGGGAGACCGAACTCGGCCGGTAACTGAGGGCAGGAAGTGGACTGTCCCAGGGGATCGCGTCGGCCGCCAGAGGTGGCAGCGACTTCTCCCAGCCCGGAGGCTGCCTCCTCCTGACAAGGGGCCCCAATGGTCAGGGCCCTAAACCAGCTGTGGCAACCGCCCACCGCTGGCCAAATGGAACGCTCCTCACGTCACCAGGTCGTTCCAGTAGTTGCTCGCCCTCCATTGGCTGATCAGTCTCGGCGCCTCCGCCCCTGCCACCCCTGCCCCGAACTACCATTGGCTACCCAGAACGCCACTCGATATGCCCCCGTCCCACTCCCCCACCCATTTCCCGGCTTCATGCCCACCTGCCAAGCCACTGCCAGCCTCCCTTTGGGGTTCGAGCGCCAATATGTGAAGTGTCGCCTTCTATTAATATAGTTACGCAGAGACGGAGGTGAAGGGTAGTGCCGATGGGACAACGAGGGACTAGAGACCAGCCTCCCCCCACAGACGTTGAGACACTGAAGCAACACAGGCTCACAGATCCGGGTGCTCACCCCAGACTAGGTCCGCCCTGGGCCTCTCCAGCCCTACTTTCATGAAATCAACCGCGACTCGGCATTCTACTCTTTATCCGCGTGAAAACAAGTCGTCTGCCTCCCAAGTCCCATTCACTAGTTAGGGACAACCCCACCCCCCCAGTCAACCTGGCCTGCATCTCTAAGGCTTTCAGAACAAAACACACATAAAAAGGAACTTGAAAGGGATAACTGTCCCCAAGAACATAGAATCATTTTACAGTACCAAAAACAAATAATTGACAGTGATGAAGTTAGAGAAACTATACTGACAGGACATAAATTCTTCTAGGTAGGTAATGAAGTAAAGAGTGCCAAAAAGGTTGTAAATTACTATAAGCTCTGAGAGCTTATGATAATTGGGGGGAGGGGGGGCGGGGCGAGGATCCAAGGCAGAATCCCCACCCGCCAACCACATTGATTCTTTCCTTCTGCCACCCCCCTCTGCAGTTATTGCCACAATGAGCCACTGCTACTGATCCGAGTGAGTTGCATCCTTCAGAAGTTCAAGATTGGAGTGGGGAAAACAGTTGAGAACCACAGCGTTAATATTATACCGCGGACATTAAAAGGCACTAGGTCTGTTTCCACTAGTATGGCTCTTGGCTTCCAAATATAAGGGGAAATATGAGAAAAGGCTGAAGGCGGCCCCTCCTTACCTGTCACACTTTTGGGGAGAGTGCCCAGTTTGCCAGCTATTTTCCTGAGCTTGAATAAAGTTTCCCTAGGGTGAAGGAATTTGCAATTAATGCAGAAGAGACCGCCAAAGCTCTTCCCAAGGTAGTTTTTTGTGTTAGTTGAAGGGCCACGTACATGGTCAAGAACTATTTCTTCTTTACAGTATTTGGGTCCCACGTGATATCAAGCAAAAAGCTACCTAATGATAATTACATTTGACACTTTCGTAGCACCTTTCAATCAAAAATTTAAAAGAATTAAAAAACCACCAGGTAACTCTCTTATGAGAGAAATGTGTTATAATTAATTTGTCGGGGAAAGTATGTCTTTATAAAGCTTCTTTTGTTCCTTAGCACTCATGCTGATTATAATCATCAGTTTATAAGGAGTGTGATCAGCATCACTGCCTCCATTTCTCCCCTTTGAATCCTGGAGGGTGCTGGTAATGCACACACTTGGTATGGAAGGGAGAGGAACTTCCTTCAGCCCCATCAGACCCCTGGATTCCCAAGCCTGTGTACCCAGATGCTCTTAGGAATAGCATGGTCACCCCAGTGGCCATCCTCCTGACTGTGGAGCAGTCAAAAATAAACCTCTGCAGTACCCAAACATACTTTGTCCATAGCTCAGGTACAGGTGAAGCCCAGGGAGTTCTGGAATCGATGTGTCACGGCCACACATTCCTGAGCTCTACCTCTCCCTGCTCTGGGACACATTCCCTCTGAGATTAAGTGGCTGTATAGGTCAGGCTTGTTTTATTACATTCTGTTATTATTTGTGTTCACTACCAAAAGAAAAAAGGAAAATTTATATGGACAAACATTCCATAGCACTTCCTTTTATGTAATTACATCATTTTATATAATCCTAAAAGTCTTAATACGTACACAACTAAATTGTGACTATAAACTGAGATTGTTTTTCTGTTTTCTTTTTTTTTCTTTTCTCTTCTCAACAAACTTCCCAGACTTTATGCATCCAAATCAATGTTGGCTCCTTTGAAGAGGAGTTAGAGTCACATGGTGAGCGCTAGAAACACCACTGGAATCAAGGTATAGGCTTTCATCGTGTGGTGGCAGACATTCTGGTGTGCTTGTTTACTTATCTTCATATGTATGGTCCCTGTGTGAGTGTGTGCTTGTGGGCGTGTAGGTGTAAAGAGCTGTTTGAAGGGCCTCAGATCCTGAGTGCCACCACTGGGTTAGAGCTTGCCTGTCAGTGTTGCTCCAGATATCTCTTCTGCAACCATCCAGAGACCCACTCAGTACTGCATGCAAGAACAGACCCCCTAAAATCAGGCCGCATCCTGCATTCGAGCTCATGATGGCCCTTTTTCTCTCTATTTTCTCTAGCCTCAACCCTCACATGTCCCTTTGCCCTCCTCCCCACACACATGTCCCTTCCCACCCCACCTGCCTGACCTGCACTCCTCTCCCTACTTCCTGGCTATAAATAAATATATGTTTGCAGAATGAATTGATGAGCAAAAGAAAGAACCACAGGATACCCAGCCCACGCGTGACCAACTAGTATTCTTAAACAACAGCTGTTTCCCTGAGGCCTGGGCTGCTATCACTGACGTAGAAGCAGCAGGATGGTACGTATAGTAGAAAACACGAAAGCTTTGTGGCCAGACAGACGTAGGTTCAAATCCTGGCTCTGCTACTTGGTAGCTTGTGTAAACTTCAGCAAGTAATTTACCCTTTCTGAGCCAATTTCCTCACCCGTAAATAGAGCTAATGCCTACTTCATAGAGTTATAATAGGGATTAGATCTAATGTGTGCTAAATGTCTAGCATATAGGAGAAATGCAATCAATGCTAAATGTTACGATGATGTCTATAGGTAACTACTCTCTCCCTCCTCCCTCTCTTATCCACACTGCCACTTGGGGGTAGAGAGGTAAGGAGACCCATTCTTCACCTTGTTGAACCCGTGTCATTCGTGTGTCGCTATGTTTTCATAGCCTCTAAATTCGTCACTGAAGTTAATCCTTATCTGACTGCCTGCTTGGTTTCCCAATCCCTGGGGCACGCAACCTCCTGATTGAGAAAAGCTTGGGTGGTAATCTTCCTCTAGTCGAGTGGCTGTTCTCTAGCACCATCATCTCAAGAGAATCCTCAACATTGCCGCCACATTATTTGTTTCAACAGGTGAGAGATCAATGGAATCTCTTTCATTACAGACCTCCTGTGTTCACAGCACTGTGCTGGGATTGTTAGCTCCTGTCAGAGATTGAGAAGTACCTTTAAGATGCCACCGCATGAAAGCTAAACATACAGAAAGCGCAATAAAAACTGCCTGGGGTGGCAAGAAAGATGATATCACAATGCAACTGAACTGCTCAAACCAAGCCTCTGTTTCTGCCTCTGAGGCCTGTCTGCTCCCGCTGGCTCTCAATTTTGTTTCATCTCTAGACTGTGGATTTCTGACTCCACCCAGAATGGTTTTCGGTGCTGTGCTTGAGCCCTCAACACTAGCCCTAAGACTAACTTCTCACTAAACAACAGTCATAATAACATCAATAGAGACCATTTACGGAGGACCTCCTCCAAGCCAGGGATTGTGCCAGGTGCTTTATATAGATTAGGTTCCTAGAGTATGGTCTAAACTTGATGTCCAAGTGAGAGCATCCGATACTCACCCAGCACAGCCCTAGTTTCTGACTCTGCCCAGCCCTCTCATTCCAGGAGCTGACCTCAAGGGATTGTGTAGCCCAAAAATATAAACTGGTTGATCAGTCAATCATTAAGTATGTATTGAGCACCCACAGTTTGCCCAGCCTGTACTAGGCATTGTGGGAAATACCAAAGAAGTATATGACATAATCCCAGCCTCTAAGGAACTTAAAATATTCTAAGGGAGAAAAGACCAGCTCACATGAAGTCATTAAAGATAAATAAAAAACAGTGCAGTCCAGTTCTCAATTATGAACAGCAGAGTCTCCAACCTTTTAGGGAGACCTTGCCTCAAAAGGTTGTACCCTCTCAAATACTGTTGGTAGAAGAGTAAATTGGTAAAATCTTTTAGTAGGGCTATTTGGTAGTATCTCTTAATGTTTTTACATTACATAACCATTGACCCAACAATCCTACTTCTATCTAGAAATACTAGCACAAATGCTCAAAGATATATGTTCAAAGCTGTTCACTATAGCATTGCTTGTCATTGAAAAAGTTAGCAAACAAAAAGTTCTTTAATTATTGCACATCCATGGAGTACCATGCAGCTATTAAAAATAATGAGATATAGTATATATACAGAAAAGAGCAGACCATCGCCTTTCTGCATGTGTGAATATTTGTATTAAAAATTTACATTAAAAAATAAGTATCTGTGTGCTGACATGTAAGTGTGCCCAGTATACATTAAGTCTAAAAAACAAGTGTCTAAACATTTATAAAATTCAACTTTTATAAAATAAGAAAACTAATTTTGTGTGTGTATGTGTATGATTTTATATATGCATATTTTAAAAGTCTGGAAGGATATTTACCAAACAGTGGTTACCTCTGGGGAGTGAGGGTGGTGAACAAATTTTTGTTTCACTTTATATACTTCTTTAATGTCTGAATTAGTTACAAGAAGCATTATTAATTTTAGGATTTAAAAAATAACGATTTTAAAAAGTATTATAAGACTCTATATGTCTTGTTCAGTATGGCAGAATGACCACATGCATTTATCTCCTCTCCCTCCTAAGACACCACTAGAATTATAGTAAAGGGACTAAAAAGGTATAAGCCCACAACAAAGAAGAGAAGAGAGACATCAGATGACAATATGTTTCACAAATGTCAGGAAGATAGAAATTGGAGGGAAGGGTGTTGACTGAACCCACAAAAACCAAGGCTGATGTTGAACCTGACCAGCCCAGAAAAATGCCATAGAACACATGGAAGGAGGATTACAGGAAAAAAGGAAGTCAGCAAAAGAGATTAAGAGCTAGGAAAATTG